AGGCAGGCAGGCAGGTAGGGAGGTAGGTAGGTAGGTGGTGGGGAGGAAGGCAGGCAGGCAGTCGGGCAGGTTGGTAGGGTAGGTAGGTAGGTACGTAGGTAGGTAGGGCAGGTCTGGCAGGCAGGTAGCGTAGGTGTCGGTGCAGGTATAGGCGTGTGGGGCGGAGCGGCGCGGGCGGCAGGACGGGATAGCCTAAAGAAAAACACAACCCCAAATGATGTGGGGACAGCAACAAGCAAGCAAAAGCAGAACATAAACAGCGAATACGAGAGAAGCGAGAAGCAAAAAACAAAGGCCGTCCGGGGCAGGGCCTTGTTTGGTATTCATGTACAGTGGTCACTATGGCGCTTCACATGCTTGATTCTGTTGAGTCTCCGGGCCGTCGGGTGCAAAAGCGCAAGCACCAGAACCCGAAAGCGGAAAGCAAGGAAAGGAGCAGGAAGAAAACTCGACGAGGGAGCCAACAACAGAAAACCCCCAAAGTACAACATAGAGCTGCTTCATCCTTAATCACGAGTGCACAACTGCGGACCAGAACTATACAGTGCTGAGCCGCTGCAAATGCAGAGCAACAGCCGCCAGAAGGCAGCATATGCCTACCCATCTCCTACCCTTGTGACCCTACGCGAACAAGCCAGACTGTGAACTCCAGGCAAGAAGCTCTGCCGCTGGGGTCGTCTCTGTCGTCTCAGCGACACGCTTTCAGCCTTGTCTTCACCTGGCAATCCTTCCACCGATGGTGGATGCCAAATTGGCTCACCAGACTGGTTTGAGCAGCCCTTGGCTTTTGAGCTAGTCGAGCGATTTCTGGTGTCTTGCTCCGGATCCTCGGCGCTGGCACGCGTCATCGAATCCCCCATGCCATCCAACTGCACGTCTTGGAGGTTCCAAACGCTCGCCTCCGGCAGCCTTGTTCCCAGTGCTCTGAGCTTTAAAAAGTGTTGCATAATGCGAAGCAAGCTATAGCAGTATAGCAGAGATGAGGAACCGCCCCCCACCACCCTGGGTTTCAGGGCTCTCGCAACAACCTCAGCTGGAAGCACATGTACCGCCCGCCACTAGCACGGCAGTTCTGCATCGGACATACAGCAAACGCTCTTCAATGCAAGCATCTTAGAGCAGGACCTTTATCACACTCGGACAAAGATGTAGCTGTTCGGGGCAGCGACCGTGTCTGCGATGAAGGCGGGGCACGTAAGCTGCTTGTCAACATGCACTACACATCTGACAGAATGAACTTCGAAATAAGAGAACGTTATACAGGCCCACCAACACATTCTCTGAGCTGGATCTCGGCATGGAGTGCATGCTCTCCAAAGTGGCAGCTGGATTTCTCGGTTCCGGAGTTCGAACATGTCGCACAACGCCTGCCCGGAGGAGTGATGCTTCGTAAAGATCACTGCCCTATTTTGTCCGCTGCACCAGGCTGCACCGGTGCTGGTGCACACTACATGATTTCAGTGCTGCAGAGTCGCTGGGGCCGGGAGAGGACTCCAGCGGTGTTGGGACAGACCTTGCCGCAGACCGTGCGCTCCCTGAGCGACTGCCGTCTGCACAGCCGGAACCGGCTGTGATATCGGCAACGCGCACCTGCTGTGAACGGCATTTTCGAGTCAGTGAAGACTCCTCTTTGATTGGGCCATGCGCAATCAAGCAGTCATCAGCCAATAAGCTCAAAGCTCTACCGCCGTGGCCTGACCGCGCCCTGGCTGAGGCAGCTTGACACGCGAGATCACGGGTCTTGCGGGGGTTGGTCGTGCTGATCGTGCTGATGCCATGGCCTCTACCTTAATGGCACATAACATAATGGAGTGTGCGCTGCTTGAAACGACGTGGTTGCAGGATGGGTTTGGGAAAAAACATGGCAGCGACTTGCCGAGTAGCTTGGGCAAGTCGGCTCCATGACTGTCTGGCCCATCCATTGCTACACTGGTGCTTGAACCCATGCTGTTGTCACCGATCCAGCATCGTGAACCAGTATGCCCTCTGCTGTCCTGTGAACCTTCACAAAGTTGAATCTCGACTGCTGGCCTGACCTTGGACTTGCCCACCCTGTTCATCGAACAAAGTTGCAGTCAGTTAAACAGTTTTGGCACGTCCGGCGGGTTCAGACAGCCAAGTTGCCAACACCTGAGGTTGCAAGCTGTCGAAGCATGGCCCCGAACAGCTGCATGAGATCAGGTACCTGTTTTCTGCAACAGCTCTGCGGCATCGGGGAAGCCTGGGCTTGGACCAAACACCCGGCCACACCAAATGTGCCTCAAGGCCAGCGACTTCCTGTCCAGGACACATCCATGGTACCAGCGGAACGAGCTTGACGCTTGACTATCTTGGCCGCCACTGCATAGTGTTTGCTGATGTTGCTGTTGCCTGATCCTTGCTAGCAGCGTCCTTTAGAGGGGTAGCGGACTGCTTCTGGCCCCATGTGGCCGATGTTGCCTCTGCATCTGCACGTGGAGAGGCAGGACCAATGCCCAAACGTGCCGCAGCATCTTGGTTGTCCAGCGCTTGAAGCTCCGTCTCAATAAGCATGGTGACATGCGTAAGGTCAGCCAAACCATCGCGGGTGGCTGCCTGCAGGCGCGAAACCCTGCACCCTGAACTCCAAGGCGCTGTTCCGATGCGACACTAGCAGTAGCACGGGCCTCCACGAGTGGGGCAGCATGCCGAAGCAGTGCACGTGCCGTCCCTCGTCTCTGGGCGGCCGCCGCCTGCGCACAGGCACAACGGAAGTCGCGACGCCGGAGATCCCTCGACCTCGCGGGCCAAGCCCCTTCGAAAGAAATGTGAACCGTACACCAGTTAAGGGCTGTCCAGACAATCTGAAGCACCCCACCTCATCGTGCCCGAGTTACAACACAAAATCATACACAGCCAACGTACTAGAACCTTCGACGAGAAGACATGTTTTGAGTGAAGCCCGGTCGGCCGAATCTAGCATCCTGCAGAGTGGGATCTAGCCGAATCTAACTTTTGTTGTTTCTCCTTGGTGTGGTGGAACTAACCTTGGAAGGGCCGGCCTAACCTGCCGGTGACCTTACCCACGCACTTGACCGGAACCCAAACAATCGAACAGCCTGACAGAACGAAAACAATCGCCATGTCTTACCTCACCTGGCCTTAACTAGCCTCTCAACTTGACCTAGCCGGCCAACTTGTCATATGTTTAAACCTCGCTGAAACTGTTTTTCAACCCGCCACATGTGCTCCCTTTGCAATGGGAGTTACATTATCTGTGGCCGTTTCCAGACTGACACATGCTTTCAAGTGTTTGCAGCCTTTCTATAACTCCAAGTGCTGTCGTTTACGTGATTGCAGCCTTACGACCTACGACACTTCCAAATGCTTTTATGTACAAATGTCGTGGCTTTCAAGAGCCGCACATGCTGTAGTTTGATAGCTTCGCAGCCTCCAGCAGTAACTTTAAGTACTGTAATAATCTGCAGTATTCGTGGCCGTACTTTCTGTTGTTCTATCGTGGCCTTTCAATGCTTCCAGATGTTGAATATGCAGTATTCGTGGATTGTGAAAGGGCCCGGCGAGCTTCTAAAGCTTAGGCAAACCTGTTTCTAATACACATATACTACACATATACTTCTTGATGTCTGTATTTGTTGACGGCTTGTGACTGCTCGTGCCATGCCTGTGAACCCTCCATGCCGAGAAAGATAAAGAGAAATAAAAGGGGATTAACAACAATAACAATAAGAATGGTACAATTAGGCATGAATGCTTGTAGCAACAACGGGAGACGAAAGGCAGGTCACGGCTGGAGCAAGAACGACGACTAGACTAGGTACTGTAGCAGTAGCGATAGACATCAACATATTTGTGCTACAACACGTGCACAACGACCAGGGTAATAGCACTAACAACAAATACAACAGTAATGATCACAATCATGATAACATCCGTCCTAACTATAGCAATTAGTAAAGTTAGTAAACTATGTTATTTAACAGGTCTTGCGAGTAATAATTGCAATAATAAGGCAACAGTTAGGCAATAATACAAAGTAGTCGGTCTACTCATCCTGATTTCAGTAACGACCATTGTACCTGCTAGCTGAGGAACCGGAGGACTGCGGGGACCACAGGACCAGGGGACCAAAGCCACAGGGCCAATAAACAGCCCAAACACCTCAGTTTGATATTTTTCTGTGCATTTATGTCAATTTGTCGGGCTTCCCAAGTAGCAAAAACTACATGTTTAGGGTTGTGGTTTACTAATCTGCATTTCGTTAACTTACGCATACCCGGCATGCACATGCTCTCCGATCCTCCGTCCACCCGAAAAAGGCCGTGAATCCGGATTCACGCGTCAATACCTCTATGCCTTCATTCCTCCTCGTTTTCGTTTCGGGTGACACACTAAGTCTGCGAACCCACCTGTCACTATCTCAATGTCGACCAAAGCAACAAATAGCATGTCGCACCCTTGCTTCCCAAAACAACCTCGCAAAGCTTGCCTGCGCAGCTGCATCCCCACCGGCTTGACTGCATAGAACCAAAGCGCGAGCCATCCGTTCGAACAAGACCTTGCTGTGCGAAACAAAGGCTCAGTGCCGGTCTCGCAGGGGACCATTTAGCTTTATCAACTGCCCCATACTACCAATGCAGCAGACTCACGCCACAATTGCCATCTTGATCAAGCCCACGGTAGTGCCTGCAGTGACCATGAAGAACCATGCCCACTGTCCAATCTTTGCCACCAACCGAGCCCTCGAAAGCAAAACGTGCGCACCACAAGTGACAGTCGATGAGTGTATAAACGGCAGACCTTCCAAATAACTTTCGAGTTTGTTCGAGGGCGCGCAGACGTGTGACAGGCGGAGGGGCTTTACATGGCTTTGCTGTTAAGGCTTGAAGGCGTGGCTCGGTCCTGCTTCGCGGCGAGCTGTTCGGAGATTGCAAGTAACAGCGTTTGGGTTTGCGGTAAGTCAAAGTTGGAAGCGACATGCTTGAAGATCTGTTGTGGGTGCGGAGCTTGCAGGCTGACGGTGTTGGATCAAGACATTGTCCGGGTTCAGGGTTTGGAAACAAAGATTTTGCGCAAACATTGGCTAACCCGCTTCGCATACAAACTCCACGAATCAAAAGTTGAGAACGTGTATTCAATGTATTCTTCATTGAGTCGGTCGCAAGGCCACCCGGCATGCTTGACATTCTCCGAAGGAACGCCAGGGCCCTGGGATATGTGGGTCCAGACCCAGGAGTCAGCAATCCTCGAGACAACGTAAAGCTGGTGTTTGATTTTTGCTACGACTAGGGCTCAAGGGCTCCGCCACCACCAGCAAAAGGGGGATGTGAGATGTTTGATTGAGATTGCAGTCCTCGAAGGAACTAACAACTGGGATCACGGAGATGTGCTCCGTTCCGACGGCGATGCTCACTGACATCCGGACACGGCCACATCATGCGGCCGAGATACCGTAAGGTGGTATCAACACACCTTTTGCGTGGTATATAGGTACCAATTTCTCGTGGAGGAAAAGCAGGTGCGACAGTACTGACATTCTTCCACCAAGGAACATGCATGTACGTGCAAAAATCATGAACCATACCTCCTCTTCTGGTGGAGTGATGTGGAATGATGTGGAGGGGAGGCAGAGCTGACGGCACGACGCGGCACATGCCAAGACTGCGGCCAATGAAGCATCCGCAAAAGTGGTGGACCCGACAAGGGGCACGCTTGAGCAAACCCTGGGGTGACAATACTCAAGCACCGAAAGGCAACAGCAGCCAAACACAGGATAGCAATAAGTGATTGGAAGTTGGAGAATGCAAGAGATAGAGTCCAGAAGTCAGTCCAGGCCTCGCAAACTTTTACCGCATTTCAGGGCTAAGTAGAGTTGAAGCTGAGTTGACTCACCCGATGTTCTAGAGAAAAAGGGGCTGTGCGCAGTCTCTGCCTGTGGTAAATAATGATGGTAGAACGACATGGGCACACCTCCTTCCCGAATCAGCGGGCCACACTGGCCCCATATTCAAGGCCCGGGCATGTTTCTAACAGCTGCCTGGATCGGCATCTCCAGGCGCGCAAGCTCCGCTGTGTCGACCTTTTTTGTGATGGGAATTTCCTGACGCGAACAGGACGGAAAATGTGGAGATGGCCCCTGCTCTATCTTCAATCACTTCACGTTCAGTCAATGCCAACAAACAGATCAAACAGTAGGAGCCCCAGGGCGGTGATTACGTAATGTTACGTACGTACGTACGTACGTACGAAGGCACGCACGAACGTGTACCGGTACGCACGTTAGTACGTACATTACCGGAAGCGTGCAGGGAGGCGTGCGGGTACGCATGTAGTAGGTACGTATGTACGTCAATATGTATGCATGCAGGCTCATCCCAATTTTTTCGCAAGGGGGCGCGGAGGGGATATACGTACGTATGTACGTGCCCGGGCAGGTACATACGGACGTACAGCACCAGAGGCAGGCATGCAGGGCGGTATGAATATATGTAGGTATGCAAGCATGTATACGTTGGGGTGCAGTCAAGTAAGCAAGTATGTATGTATGTGAAGGTATGTATATGCGTGTGTGTATGTATGTCACGTATGTATGTATGCACGTATGCATGTGCGGGTGCAAGCAAGTAAGTACGTACACCCCTTATTATTTTCCCGAAGCGTGGGGTGGTGCGTATGTACGTACGTATGTGTGGTACGTACATGCCGCAGCAGATGCAAACAAATAAGTATGTATGTACGTCTTGACGTAGGTATGTGTGCACGTATGTATGGGTGTAGGTATGTGCGTGCGCCGACTAAG